AAACCCCAAAATTTCCAACCAAACCCCAAAATTTCCCACCGATCCCCCACGAACCCCCCCAAATTTCCTCCCCGCCAGCTCGTGCGGCGCCAGAAGCGCCGGGAGCTGGACGCGCGGCGCGGGAAGTGCCGCATCCGCATCGGGGGGCACCTGGAGCGCTGGTGCCGCCTCAAGGAGCAGCTGGGATTCTCCCTGCACTCCCAGCTGGCGCAGTTCCTCCTCGACAGGTGCCTAAAAAAAAGCTGGAAAATTCCTTAAAAAAACCTTGAAATCCTTAAAAAAACCCGGTGGCACAGGGGGGAAAAAAAATCCGAATTTTTCTCCGCTCAGGTACAGCGCTCACGGATCCACCTGGAGCTCAGGTGGGTGTTTCCCTAATTTCTCCTGAATTTGGAGTTTCTGGTGGTGGATTCCTCTTGGGTTGGGCCCAAGCACGGAGCAAATCCCGTTTTCCCAAATTTTGGCATCACCATATTTTTATTTTATTTTATTTTTTTTGGGAAGCTGTTTGGTGGTTGTTGGTAATGACAACACCCAGAGGTTTCAAACAGAGGAAAGAACCTCGCAGCCGTCTCCGAACACCTAAAAAACGTAATTTTCGGAGGCGTTTTTCCCAAATTTCCGCCTTTTCCCGGCAGAGGCGGAGCGGCTGCAGCGCCTGGTGGTGCTGTCCCACCGGCACGGGCAGGAGTGCGGGCTCGTGCCCGACGTCCAGCTGCCAACATCTGGCGGCGCGGCGCCGCTGGTTTGGCAATGCGCCGCCGGGCACCGCTTCTCGTGGGGCGGCGACTCCGGCGGCGATTCCGGCGGAGATTCCGGCGATTCCGGGCGGAGGCGACGGCGGAGAAGGGACGCGGTGGGAACCAACGAGGACGGAGAGGAGGGAACGGCCGGGGCACCCAAGGGTGACGAGGAGATGGGAGATGGGGGAGGCAGCGGCGGAGAGGGTGAGGAAATCCCGGGAATGGTTCGGGAACGCGCCGCGTTCGGCATTCCGACGGTTCCGGGGGGTTCCCAGTTGGAGCGTGGTGGATGGAAAATGAGGCGAGGCCTCAACACCAAAACCTGACTAAATTTAACCCAAAAATCCTAATCCTAACCCAAAAACCTCACTAAAATAACCCAAAAATCCTAATCCTAACCCTAACCCCAAAACCTGACTAAATTTAACCCAAAAATCCTAATCCTAACCCCAAAATCTCACTAAATTTAACCCAAAAATCCTAATCCTAACCCCAAAACCTGACTAAATTTAACCCAAAAATCCTAACCCTAACCCAAAAACCTGACTAAAATAACCCAAAAATCCTAATCCTAACCCTAACCCCAAAACCTGACTAAATTTAACCCAAAAATCCTAACCCTAATCCTAACCCCAAAACCTGACTAAATTTAACCCAAAAATCCTAACCCTNCCTAACCCCAAAACCTGACTAAATTTAACCCAAAAATCCTAACCCTAATCCTAACCCCAAAACCTGACTAAATTTAACCCAAAAATCCTAACCCTAATCCTAACCCCAAAACCTGACTAAATTTAACCCAAAAATCCTAATCCTAACCCCAAAACCTGACTAAATTTAACCCAAAAATCCTAAACCTAATCCTAATCCTAACCCCAAAACCTGACTAAATTTAACCCAAAAATCCTGACCCAGTTCCACCATCCCAGAAGGATCAGAAACCGCCCCAACTCCAAAATTTTCAAAAACCGAACCCTAACCCAAACGCAAATTCAAACCTTAACCCAAACCCAAACTGTAATCCTAACCCAAACCCAAACCTAAACCTTAACCCAAACCTAAACCTTAACCCAACCCCAAACCCAAACCTTAACCTTAACCCAAACCTTAACCTTAACCCAACCCCAACCCAAACCCAAACCCAAACCTTAACCCAAACCCAAACTGTAATCCTAACCCAAACCCAAACCTTAACCTTAACCCAACCCAAACCTTAACCTTAACCCAAACCCAAACCCAACCCCAACCCCAACCCAAACCCAAACTCAAACCCAAACCTAAACCCAAACCCAAACCTTAACCCAAACCCAACTCCAACCCCAACCCAAACCCAAACCCAAACCCAAACCCAAACCCAAACCCAAACCCAAACCTTAACCCAACCCAAACCTTAACCCAAACCCAAACCCAAACCCAAACCCAAACCCAAACTCAAACTCAAACCCAAACCTAAACCCAAACCCAAAACTTAACCTAAACTCAAGCCCAATCCCAAACTCAAACCCAAACCCAGACCTGAACTTCTCCAAACCCAAAACCTTCCTAATCCAAACCTTAACCCAACCCCAACCCTAACCCAACCCCAACCCAACCCCAACCCCAACCCAACCCAAACCCAACCCCAACCCCAACCCCAACCCAACCCCAACCCCAAACCCAAACTCAAACCCAAACCCAGACCCGAACTTCTCCAAACCCAAAACCTTCCTAATCCAAACCTTAACCCAAACCTTAACCCAAACCCNCCCAAACCCAAACTCAAACCCAAACCCAGACCCGAACTTCTCCAAACCCAAAACCTTCCTAATCCAAACCTTAACCCAAACCTTAACCCAAACCCAAACCCAACCCCAACCCAAACCCAAACTCAATCCCAACCCAAATCCAAACCCAAAACCAATCCCAACCCAAATCCAAACACAAACTCAAACCCAAACCCAAACCTGAACTTCCCCAAACCCAAAACCTTCCTAATCCAAACCTTAATCCAAACCTTAACCCAACCCAAACCCAAACCCAACCCAAACCCAACCCCAACCCAAACCCAAACTCAAATCCAAATCCAAACCCAAACTCAAACCCAAACTTCTCCAAACCCAAAACCTTCCTAATCCAAACCCCAACCCAACCTCAACCCAAACCTTAACCCAAACCCAAACCCAAACCCAACCCAAACCCAAACCCAAACCCAAACCCAGACCCAAACTTCTCCAAACCCAAAACCTTCCAAACCCAAACCCAACCCCAACCCAACCCCAACCCAACCCAAACCCAACCCAAACCCAACCCCAACCCAAACCCAAACTCAAATCCAAATCCAAACCCAAACCCAGACCCGAACTTCTCCAAACCCAAAACCTTCCTAATCCAAACCATAACCCAACCTCAACCCAAACCTTAACCCAACCCAACCCAACCCAACCCAACCCCAACCCAACCCCAACCCCAACCCCAACCCAACCCCAACCCAACCCCA